CCTTGTGTGTACCAGCAGGTTCAAAGACGCACTGCTCTCAAAGGGATGCATGGGGTGGCTGGGGGCCAAACCCACGTTGCTAATGAAACGGGTCGCTGTACCAAGACACAGTTAACGGGACACTTGATCCAGAAGGAGACTGAGAGCTGAGAGCACCCAGGCGAGGAGCTAGCAGCTGCACCATCTGTAACCAGGGAAACTACCTCCGGGCACACCACAAGTGCCCTAAGGTGTCCTCACGTGAAGATACCCAGCTGCCTGGGTGGGGTGATGTCAGTGAAGAGCAGCTGAGGCAGGGCTCGCGGCACAGAAGCACCTGCCCTGGCCGAGGCTCGGGACAGGGAGCTCGTTGCTCCAGGCCGCACTCTGGAGCAGAGCCCAGGTGATGAAAAGGCTCATGTCCGGCAAGAGTTCCTGTGAAGTCCAGCTCCTAGGAAGGGCTGCAAGGAGAAGCTGTGGCTGCACTCACCAGCTGATGTGCTGAATGCCCCCTTCGCGCTCCTGCCTGAGCTGCACGAATCTCTGGATGGCCTTCTTCAGGTCCAGGACCGTGGCGTTCTGGACTACAACCACAGCTGCGCAAATGGGAGAAGATCCGTGGGGGGAATCCACAGCCACAGCCTCAGATGGCAGGAGAGGAACCCAGAAGCTTCTTCCTGAGGCTCAATGCTGGGCAGGGGGAGTTTGTGGCTGCCCCAACACCCCTAGGCACGGCCCTGAGTTTCCACTGACCAGCCCTGCTAACATCTTCTCCCGTGAAGGTTCAGACTGCACGGCCTGAGGGGGAGGGCAGTACTTACGCATAACTTCTCCATCCATCTTGCACACTCGGACTGTCATTGCTTGGCCATATTCTAGTGCTATTTGGGAATTGACCTCTTCCAAAGTAACCTAGAAAAGACCAAGGCTGAAGGTGGGAGCTCTCTTCACCACCCCAAACAACAAAGAAAAACAGCTGATAGTCTTCAAAAAGTGGTACCACGTTTTTGGGAGGTTCTTGCATATATGTTAGGATTTCCCGGTTTTTCAGCACTTTAATCTCATGTCTTATCCACGTTTTTTATGAAGTGGATGGACGCTAGGGAGAAACGGGCAAGGAGAATGAATCGCCTTGAGGAACAGCCCCTGGCTCCTCCGGGCCAGGTGCTGGGTGGGAGGAGGAACACTGGGCCCCACCGTCCGGCCTGAGAGCCGGATGGATCATCAGGATCCAGGGCCTCAGGCAAGGCTGGGGCACCAAACAACGGTAAGAGATAAACATGTCAATACAACCGTTAACACAACACAAGTTAATTTAAAAATTCCACGATGGGCAAAATAACAAGGACTTTAAAACAGGACAGCGCCAAAACTCACTGAAGATTGAAGAGAAAGGAAAAACCGGTAACTGATCTTTTATTTGAAAATGATATTATTTTGTTTGCCGTAGGCTTTTGTAAACCAACTTTGAGTTTTAAAAACACTGCTAAAAAGTCATGTGTGTTAACTAGCGGGGGTTTTTGGCGCCCCTTTAAATTCCGCGCCTGAGGCCGGGCCGGAGCCCAGAACCTCGTTTACGCCCGGAGACGCCTTCCCAAGGCCTCTGGCCGCAGCCCCCATCGACACTCCGGGGTCCGTCTGCGCCCCGACGGCCCCCGGCCCGCGCGCACCTGGATCGGAAGGTCGCAGAGCAGCGGGTCCTGTACCACCATGGCCAGACCCTCCTGGAACACGTCCACCGCCTCGGAGTGCGGCAGCGCCTCCTCCTCGTCCTCCTCGTCCTCCTGCGGCTCCCGCCGCGCCGCGGCCTCCGCCTCCTCCAGGTTGCCTAGCTTCCCGCGGGCTCAGCCCGCACGGCATCTCCGCGCGACCGTGGTGCGGCGCGCATGCGCGGGGACCGCCACCGCAGCCTCTCCTTCGGGGCGTTGAGGGGCGGGGCTACCTCGAGGACCAATGAGAAGTGAGTTACTGGGAGCCGGCTCGCCGCAGTGCTCCCTGGGAGCGCGAAGTCGGCGTGACTATTGGTGGGCTGGTTGGGGCGGGGAGGCTGCCGGGACCAATGGGAGTTAGGAGCGTCGGAGCATCGGAGCGCCGGCGCCGAACGGCCGCGAGAGCTGCCGGGAGAACCGGGCTAGTCGCCGCGATGCTGCTTTTCTGCCCGGGCTGCGGGAACGGGCTGATTGTGGAGGAGGGGCAGCGCTGCCACCGCTTCGCCTGCAACACCTGCCCCTACGTGCACAACGTCACCCGCAAGGTGGGCCCAGGCCGGCCGCGCGGCGCGCACAGCGCGGAGGCCGACCCTAACCTTCCTCGCCCATCCTCTGCTCAGATTTCGCGTCCAGCAGGCCCTCTGCCCGCAACGCCAGCCTCTCCGAGGCGCTCTCGCCCGGCACGGGCACTACTCCCGTAGCCTGTGCACGACTTTTCCGCCTGGGTCGCTCTTCTCCCCTAGGTACCCATGTCAGTCGTTGCTCGTGTTTTTGCTTAAAGGATTATTTAAAATTGCAGCCTCTTTCTAAATTTTATGCTCCTTCCCCTAATTTTATTTTTTCCGTAGGACTCATTTGCCTTCCAGTACGCCTTGCAATTTACTTATGCGCTTTGTTTATTAATACTAGGGCATAAGCTGTAGGAGGGCAGGGATTTTTCAGTTTTGTTCCCTCTTATTGTTCTAGTCTGAACAACTGGAATGTATTGGATGTTCATTACGTGAGTGATGCACACTTTATTACTCTCCCTCGGTAATGCATCTTTCCTTTTTAGAACACCTTTAATTTTTAGAAGTAGAGCACGTTGGTACTACCCCATTCTTAATGTTTGTATACTATTCCACCGTATAGCTGTGTTGTGGGAGTTTAGAGTCTGAAACTATGCAAAGGGTGACATTTCAAGGACGTCTGGTAAAACTGGGAAAACAGAAAACTCTCTGCCTGGGGAGAGTGGCTGGACTCCTTTTTGACTTCAGTTGTATTGGGTTCTCTTATCTTGGATTACCAAGTATCTTAGAGGTGTGGGAAAAGAAGAGGGTCACACCTAAGCCATTTTTTTCCTCCTGCTCTGTTGCTTCATCCAATCCTTGCAGAGATCTTCTCACTTCTTTTGGGGACATCCCAACTGCGGATCCTCTAAATTCTGAAGGAGCATCCTGCTCTGTGACAGCAGGAACTCTGCTTTCATTTAGTATTCCTCCAGTCTTGTGTTGAAGGAAGGAAGCGAAGGCTGGGGAGACACTTGAGGACGGGTATGGTTTGGTGACCCAGGTTTGTACGTTCACTTACTTGTAGAGTCTGAAGATCTGCTGTTGTTTATTAGGTAACAAATCGGAAGTATCCAAAGCTGAAAGAAGTGGATGATGTGCTCGGTGGAGCAGCTGCCTGGGAGAATGTTGACTCTACTGCAGGTGAGAGGGAAAACCTTTTCTGTTCCAGAGCTGTGGGTAAGGATGAGGCTGCTGGCTGTGCCATTCTGCGGCAGAGTCTGTGATGTACTTGTGTGAAGTGGGCTTCTAAAACTAGAAAGTGTTTTCTTCTCTAATAATGTATTTGTTACGCAAACAATATTGGCACAAGCTTTGGAGTCCTTCAGACCTGAGTTAGAGTCTCAGGGTGTCCTTGATTTGTCTGGGCTAATCCATAGTCATAGATTGTGAGAGCACAAATGAGCGTTTGGCATATAGCAGGCACTTAGCAGATGTGATTGGAGTAATAAAAAAACAGTTTAAGGATTTTGTTCTAATACAGATTTCTAAAAGTTAATGATACAGAGTATTAAACTGCACTAAACATTCAGTAAAATAAATATTTATTCCAAGTTTTTGATTCATTTCTGGTAGAGATTAGATGTGACCAAAGAAGGAAGGAGAGCCCTAGACATTACCTGTATTGAGAGGAGGAAGAGCTAGCGCATGATCACTGCTGTCTTTTTCCCCCAGGGAACATCCAGATCTGCTATGTTAAAAATCCAACACTGGCAGAATTTGTCATTAGGAGGTGAATTACTTACCAAAATGGTGTTTGAGAGTGTTTGAAGGCATTTCCATCAAAAGCAAGGTTCTCAAATTGAAATCTCAGTGAAAGTAAATATGTGCCTTGGGACACTTTGAAAAGGCGTGGGATGTATGTTGAGATCTTGATAAGAACAGCCTGGACAACTTCTGCTGAGACGGATCCCTAAATTCAAGGGGAAGTGGATTGGTCGTGCGTTGGGATTTCCTTTGGGAAGATGAGAGGGCCTGTCCATTACCAGGTGGTGGAGATGCACTTTTTAGGGGAATTTGCAGGGCATGGACCCTGTAATGCACACGGCAGCCGTGTTACCTTTCACATGGTGTTTGTAGCCAGTCTTCAGCCAGAGTTGAAGAAAAGGGACCCAGGGAGAGGAGGACTGTTTCCAAGATCACAGGTCTCATTCCCTCAGTGTGAGAGTGCAGTGGGAATGATAACGCTGTTGGTAACCTTAAACCGTGGTGCAGGGCACCCTGGGCAAGGGATTCCAGATGAGCTGTCTTTCACATAACACCTACTTCTAACAAGTGTGTTGGTCACAAGCATCATTTTTTTAAGTAAACGTGGGTCACTTGTTTATTTTTCTCATTGCCAGAGCCGTGTCCCAAATGCGAACACCCTCGTGCCTATTTCATGCAGCTTCAGACCCGCTCTGCAGACGAGCCCATGACCACCTTCTACAAGTGCTGCAATGCTCAGTGTGGACATCGCTGGCGGGACTAGGGCCAGGCTGGCCCAGCTGTGTCAGCGTCTGCTTACCGTATTCCCCAGGGTGGATTCCCAGCTGCGAGTGTGGCGGAAAGCTAACCCTTTTAGGGTGGCTGGCCAGGGGCTGAGGAAATGTAGCCCATCTCCCAGTCAGTGGATTAACTCATTAATGTCCAGGAGACTGTGTGTGTCAAGAGGAGTATCCATAACTAAGTGCATCCTGTTTAAGGTCCTGTTCTGCATCTTTTACATTTATTGGGCAGTTGACATTCTCTCACCATCAGCCTACACTCTTAAACATTTACATTGTTTGCACAACTAATAAAGTAAAACTTAGTAGTTCAGTACATTAGATGTCTCTCAGTATTTAACTGTTAATTGCAAACTTATTTAATCAAAATTTATTCTGAAAATTTAATTAAAGTTAAAAGTCTAATTCACCTTCTCAGTGTTTTAAATGCCTGAAGAAGTAGACATCAAACCCCAAAACAGGATTCCAAAACTGGCTGCTATACTTAGGGCCAAACTAGTTACAAAATTGTGAATAACATGGATTTCTATTTCTTTATGATTTAAATTCTTTTTTCCTAGGATTGCAATAAACTTAATAGGTAGTATTTTTTTTTTACACTTTATACTTTCTGTGTCTATCTTCCTACTCTAAAGAGGAAAAGGACACCCTGGGCTAGCAGGGGACAGGATCTTGGTTATTGATGGATTGGTTTCTTGCTCAGACTTAATTGCTTTTTCAGATCTCTCTCTTTTTTTAGTTTATTGAAGTGTAGTTGACTTACAACGCTGTGTTAATTTCTGGTGTACCTCAAAGTGATTCAGTTATGTGTACATGTATTCTTTTTCACATTATTTTCCGTTATGGTTTATTACAGGATATTGAATGTAGTTCCTTGTATCTATTCTCTTCATAATGAAGTCTCACTTATGAAATAATGGGACTTAAATTTATGCCTCTGATACAGATTTTTACTTTTTTGAAACTTGTTATCTTTCCAAGAAACTATTAATCTGTATGGGTCCTGAGCTCACTGTGTCCAATTTTTTCTGTTTCAGAGCAGTTTGTGCTGGATTTGCAAATGTGGTTTTATCCTGTGGCTGTTATCTTCAGTGTCTTCTTTCTGTGCCATTAGTTAGTTACGTTTCCTCAGATGCCTGTTCTCGTTTTTGTTGTTGGAGGCAGTGTGGATCAGTGGTGAAGGTCGTGCCCTCTGAAGTCAGCCTGCCTGCCTGTCAAGTTCGTTTCCTCCTGTGTAAAATGGAGATAACAATAGTCTATTTCAGGAGTTTACAACTTCTCCTGTAAAGAGCCAGATAGTAAGTATTTTGGGTTTTGTGGGTCAAGAGTCAAAATCTAGGAAAACACAAGAAAACAAAGTCTTATAAAGAAATTCAAAATATAATCCTTCAATATTTTGTAATGCGAGTCTACTGATGAAAGGAATGGATACCATTTTGCGTAATTGAGATTCAGAGTTAGTGTTCCTCGTCATCAGCGTTGCAAACGTGCATCTCATACTGGTTCAGGCCATGAGAGCAGAGGAAGTTCACTGTTGACATTGCTGATGGATTCAGTAGATGCAGTGTGGTGAGAGATGCAGATGTTTTCCTCAGCATATTTGCAGGTGAATAATGCAGTGCAGACTCTCAGCCTGTGAGCCCTTTCTCTTTTTTTTTTAAAATTAATTAATTTATTTTTGGCTGTGTTGCGTTGCTGCACGCGGGCTTTCTCTAGTTGCAGCGAGCGGGGGCTACTCTTTGTTGCGGTGCATGGGCTTCTCGTTGCAGTGGCTTCTCTTGTTGTGGAGCACGGGCTCTAGTCGCGCGGGCTTCAGTAGCTGTGGCATGCCGGCTCAGTAGCTGTGGCTCGCGGGCTCTAGAGCGCAGGCTCAGTAGTTGTGGTGCACGGGCTTAGTTGCTTCGCGGCACGTGGGATCTTTCCGGACCAGGGCTTGAACCCGTGTCCCCTGCACTGGCAGGCGGATTCTTAACCACTGCGCCACCAGGGAAGTCCAGGAATTCTGTTTTGTGTTGAGATTCGTGCCAGTGACGAGTGCTCGGTCTGGCAACATCGACCATTGTGGTATCGTTGCGTGATAAACACTGCTCTGCTATCCAGTTTGCTGACAAGATAGTCCGCACTGCCCTGTGCCTTAAAAACATGACATTCAGTGCCCACTTTTCTTATTTTGACATGCTGGGTGTGCACTCATAGTAAGCAAAAAAAAAAAAAAAAAAAAAAAAAAAAGAATGGATAAAAACAAATGGTGGC